CGCTGAAAAAATCAAATTTTACAATTTGATTGGCTTAGAGGATTGGTATTTATCCTTAATAATGGTATTTCAAATTGCACAAGTTTTACTTGTAATATTTCAATTTTGAAATATCACGCGTGGTATTTATCATCCAAATCGCACTTCAGTGACATGCAGTAGTACCTATACCAATATAGGTATTTCATAGATAATTTTATAAAATTTTTGATATATACCACGCGCTCTGATTGGCTGACGACCGTGTTTATATCAGAGGACAGAGACACGGCTTACCGGCAAAATTCATGTTTTTCGCTCGACTGAAAACGCAGAAAAGTTTATAAAATAAATATAAAACGGCCGCTTGTGTCTCAGTCCTCTGATATAAACACGGTGGGAGTTGAAAAACACTCGAGAAGCAAGAAAAAGAATCGCTACGCTCATGTTTCTAAGCTTGCTTTTCTCGTGTTTTTCAACTCMCACCGTGTTTATATCAGAGGACAGAGACACGCGCGCCGTTTTATATTTCTTAAACGGCTATTTGGACGAAAATTGTGAAACATTAGAAAAGACTTGGAAATCAAATAGAACTATCCATATGGGTCTAATAATYATGAAGSAACAGATTTCAAGATGTTGATATAAATYCTTAATAATTTGGGCAAAAAATGTTRGARTAGATGACGTCATTTACTCCATCMTTTTGTTCTTCCATCTTTTGAATCAAAATTTCTCTGACGTGGGATAATTTCAAAACAAATATTTTCCCGCAATTGTTTTTAATAAATATAAATGAGTCATATATTTGTATTGCTTGAAGTTTTGAAATARGACCATTTTCATGCAAGTARCACTTTTATAAATTATAAAGCAGAGTAACCACAGGTCAAGGCTCAAAAAATAAGTACAAAGGTATGTCACATAAATTTGTATTGATAAATACAGCTATTTCAAAAAACGTTGTCGGGGAGAACGACAAACGGCGATTGTCGAAGAGAGATTGCACGACCGAAAGGGACTATAGTTACACTGTGCGTTTTGATAAACAAAATTTCACTTATTGGATTCACCTTACATAGAAATGGAAACTAAATGGAGCCAATGTTTACCACATACCATCTTATAACAGTACAAATCAGTTGTTATTGCCTTTCAGCTAGCAAAACCCATGGCTACTTTCGGTCTTGCAATCGCCCTTCGACAATTTACACTATTCGCCATTTTATCCGACAACCTTTTGTTAAATAGCTATATATCGTCTCTAGGTCTTACCTTTCTGGCTTAAAATTTTTCAATTCTTAGAAGGTTCGCACATGAAGTTTAGATACGCCTTTGTTTGCCCTATTTATATTGATACGCAAGGTTGGACCCTCTAAAATCGAAATTTTATACCAGGAAGGGAAAAGATACAATTTGATTTCATTAATAATTCTATGATAAAGAGAATATTATATAGTCTCTTGGAGAACGGATTTTATCCTCTCGAAGATAAATTTAACACTCGAAGATAAAATTCTTATCTCCGCGCGAACATTCCTTATGACTAGAGTCAACGGTACAAGTGCGTTGACTCTAGGAATGTAAGCTTTAGAATTAGGTCTGGACACTAGACTGTTTCTTGTCTTTTTCTTTTTTCTTTTTGCATAATTTTTTCCATAATTTCTTTATACATACGCTCATAACATTATCTAATAATATTGTGAGTGTGTGTGAGTTTTAGATCGATTTTCAATGAGTATTACCCACAATGCAGTGTACCTTACATATGTATACTAGATATTATTGGAAGATAGCAAAACGCTGTATAATTATAATCTGTTTTGTTGATATTGATTATTATTGATGTTACTCTTACCAGCAATCTTCTTACTATGCAGTTTCGTTCGTTAGTTTCGATCCAGTGTTTTGCGATTCCATAAGCAAAGGTGCGTAACGAATGCGGAAACAGWACATACCGAGCTGAAAAATCTGGGCAAATAGCATGCATTTTGCAAACAATATTTACCTATAACGGTAGCAATGCAAACCTTTCTAAGTCCTTTATGTTGATGCACCATGCTCTGTGTAACTTTCACTAGAWGACAAAACAGTATTGTTTGAGCTCAAGCTCMATGACTGACCTGAATTGTTTTCCTTCGCTGCTAGCTACGTAGAATGTTCCTGTTACAGTCGGAAACAGACCGACAGGTTCTTATAATATGCATAAAAATACCTTGTTATAATCACAAACTATTATTACTACATATAGCTTTTATAATTTGTGTTCTCATCGCGAACACAACAATACGTCTAACGAAGACAAAAAAAAATAGATTTTACCGATATATTAAAGAAGATTTAGCAAGTCAAGTCGAACAGAAATCGGCAAAGATGAATTATGTATGCGTAGGTTGAGCTGACGTCAGTGCTGTCAAGCCTTTACGTAAGTTGAATAATGTTGAAAGTCATRAGGTTTTTGCTAGTTGTCAATACATAATGATGATGGTGCATGTACAATCATATAACGATCAATCGTTCAAGAATAAATAATCATACGATGCCTTCTAACATGATGATTCTACAGGCTGTCAATCGAAATATATTATTGTCTATTTACAAGTAAATACATCTGAAGTTTTTTCATCGGCTAAAATGTTTTGTTTGGCAATGCATTATGGGATTGGTTTCTAAAGGAAATCTACCATAGTTGTCCCAAATATATCCTACAATGCATTGCGTATACGATATATTTTACGTAAAATCTTCAGAGGTTTTTTGCTCGCACGATTTTTGTCCACAAATAAGAAGGAATTTGGATTTTTTGTAGAAATGCATGGAGGCATTATTATTAATCAAACATTCATCAGTTTTAGGGGGAAAATAATACAATTATTTATTTAACCCAATACGCCCCTTTTTTCCTTGAATACATCCCTCTCTGATCAGACTTGACTAAATCTATTCAGTTACAATCTTGAATCAGGGATGATTTGTAAATGATAATTGGGGGGGTGCATGTTATAATTTAGTTAAATATGATGCACACTTCTCTTTAACTGAGAACAACAACAAAAGCCTGGAGAACAAGAGTGCGCGCAAAAAGAATCTTGCAACGTTGAGTGAGTGAGTGAATAATTTCCTGCTATAGACGTGGGATTCATGGCTCGAGATTGTATTCCAAAAAAAAACGACAAATAAATAACTGTTGATTAACTTCTCTGAAAGCCCTAAATGGAATCGTAACTCATGAATTATAACGAATTTTTAGTTTTTTTTATTAGTTATAAAGTATCTAATATTTTAACCTTAAAATCTTAGTCTAAGGTCTCCCTTGCCATTTCTTTGAAATTAATAAAAATATTAATACAATTAATAATATAATGATAGATGCGTCAGCAATTTTGAAGTGATTAGCGCCTAATAGTTTTAGAGTTTGGTCTAGAAATTAAAATATGCCAAGTCATGTACCAGTAATCTTAAATTAATTACCAGGAAGAGCTTTTAGTAAGCTTTATATACCAGCAAGTTTCAATGCTCAGGAATCACGCTTTTGTAAGAGGGAATTAGAATTGCTAACAATCTACGGAATAACTTAGAAAATGCCCAAACATCATTATAATCGTATTTGTATGAACAATGAGTTTAGTTCAAGTTTATTACACGCACTTTTGATTAAGTCATGTGATCGACATTTATAGATTGAGCCAAAGTCGTCCCACGTGGGGGAATTCCCGTCATTACTAAGACATTTCATAATTTGTCATCGTTTATAACTAATATTTATATTTTGCGTTTCTTTTAACTTTGTCAAACGTATAAACAGCTTATAATAAGCATTTGTAGACAGATGAGCGTGAATGTGAGTCGAGCAGTAGAGTTAATTAAGCAGATCCTGTGTAGCGGCTCTAGGGAAGGGGTGGGGGGGGTGAAAACGGAGGGGTAGGGCGAGGGCGAGGGAGGAGCGTAAGAAGTCTCCTCCCCTCTCTACGCAGGCTAAAAACGTCAAAATAAAGAAAAGATAAAAAGGCAAAACACGCAATACGTTTTCACTGCCGGAACGGTCTCTTCTGGTCCAACATCATGAGTACGTTGTTATAAGTGACGGCGTAATATTTATCAGGAGTGTGCAAAGTCTAATTTTAAGTGTTTAAAGAGGGGAGGCAACGTCTCAAATTAACTAGAACGTTAATAGGAAACTGAAAAATCAACGGTATAAGATTCTGTGATTTTTTTGGCCCAAAATGCTTATTGAAGTGGAAAACTTCTCAAGAAAAGCATGCCACGATTTACGTCGACATCTTCACTATTTTGCATTACTTGAATCTTACTAAGATGTATAGGTGGTATCCCTAAGAGTAAAAACATTGGTTACAAAAGTCGATGTTAGTGGTAATATCACTATGAACTAGTGTTTATAAAATCAATAATC